GCCGAGATTAAAATTTTCCTGTTTCGTTTCAGCCTGCAGCCGATTTGCATATATTCATATGAAACTCTAGTCCGCGATGAATACTTTATTATCATTAATAATTCCATTTGCGTTGTGCTGAAAATTCTTTCGAAGGGGAATTTACGTCGATGCGGCGAAAATGTCGCTCCACAGGTTTCCTGCTGACCTTTCAGGTAGTCGGCAGCTTTAGGCAGGAACACAAACAATGAAACGTTGAAAGTCACGACATTTCACAACTTCGATTCGCATTCGAATTGTGGTAATTGTTATTTATCCCTGGTGCGTGGAGTTGCCAGTGGCGGGACAATGGGGATGGAGTAATTAATGATGGCGCGAGGTCGAGGGGGACGCTGGAAACAAGAGAGGCGGAACGAGGTTCAGATGCTAAGTCTGAAACGGCTCGTACGTTAAGGATTGTCACGTTTTCTTGTCTTTTTGGCTTTTAAAGGGTTTAGAAAAATTTTATTTTAAAACATGCGGCGTTTCTTGTGTTCTATTTTTTAAATAATCTGAATTCCCCAAGACCCCTAGTGCTTTGTTTCTGAAAGAGCTTGATGTTTTGTTTTGAAATAATTTAAAAAATCTCAGCGGTTTCCAGCTACTTTTCAGCTATGTAAAAAATCTTACTGGAGCTTTTGTGCTTTATTTTTGAAATAATTTTAAAAATCTCGGGGAAAAACCTTGGGAGCGCCTTTTGTTTTAGGAATAAAAACTAATCGTCGGGAGTCCTTTTGTGTTTTATTTTTTATTAATTCTTCGTGTTTAAGATATCTGGTATTTTGTATTGGAAAGAGTTTAAGTCTTAAGGTCGATTTATAAACTTGCCCTTGACGAATGTATGCGTCGTTTATATCATCCGTTGACGTTGGCGTTACGTTGGATTTTCAACCAATCAAGTTGCGGTAGTTGGCAGTGTTACCAACTTAAGGAAAATCCCCTAAAATAGGGGGGCCATGCTAGTTGACAGCACTAATTCCACGAAACTCAAATTTTGATAGAGATAATGAGGTCCGCTAATATTAAAAATATTAAAGCATTTAATCACCTGTTTACTGAAATCTTCATATTTTAAATGACTGCAATCATTTTCTACACTGTAGTTTTCTGTCAATACTTATGCACTTTTTTCTTAATGTGTGTACGAAAGTATCGATTTTGCAATTAGGGTCCGCCCCTCGCTCTGACAACGAATGAAAAATTCATCACAATTGAGCTTGCTATGGATATGGGTGGGGCTTAATTTTTGGCTTGTTTTTTTCTTAATATAGGTACATAATATTTTTTAAACAACACGATACTCAAAAACATGTTTTTTATTTCTTGTAGAGAAATAAGGAGTTTGCAATTAAGCTCCGCTCCGGGGCTTACGACAAATAAAAAAATCATCAGATTTGAGATAGGGCGGGTGGGCGGGGCTTATGTTTTCCTTCTTTTTCTTAATATATATATAGCCATCTTTTCACAACAAGAAACTTAAAATATTGTTAAAATGATACATTTTTGTAAGGAAATATCGATTTCATCTTTATGGGGCGGAGCCTAATTGCAAAATCGATATTTCCATATACAAATTTTCCATGTTTTAAGTATCATGTTGTAAAAATAAGTGAACACATCTTAAAACGAAAAGGCAAAATGTAGGCCCGCCCACCCTCCCTATCTCAATTGTGATGATTTTTTTTATTCGCCGTGAATCAAGGGGGTGGAGTTTGACTGCAAAATAGTTATTTCTTTACAAGACATTGAAACATGTTTTTGAGTATCGTGTTCAAAGAATACTATGTATATTAAGAAAAAAAGCAAAATGACCTCGACACCGACACCGACACCCACACCAAGTTTGTAGCTGGAATTCGACTTCCTATTCCGGCGCGTATACCTGTTCTATATTACAACACGAAAGGAGTTAAAACTCCAAAATAAGAGGGGATATAGAAAAATTGAGGAATTTTGGAAGAATCGTCAAAAATTTAATAAGGGGGGAGTTAATAAAAAATTTGAGCTTTTGTCAATTTATGTAAAAATTTACAAAAAATTCTGAGCTACACATGGATCTTGACTAGTTGATATATATATAGCTTATTGAAGGTATCTCTTTTTTAAAGAACGTCACAGAATCTTGGGGATTCCTGGCGATATGTTTTTAAGTTTAAAGAATCTCAGGGGCTCCAGAGTTTCCGTTTTAAATTGTGTGAAAGAATCTTGGGGGATTCTAGTGTTCTGTTTTTGAAAGAACTTGGGGACTCCTCGTGTTCTTTTTTTAAAGACTGTTAAAAAATCTTGAGGACTGCAGATAGTTTGGCTTTGAAAAAATTTGAAAGAAACTTAGGGAATCATAGTGTTTTTATTTGGATATTTGAAAAAGAGTTAAGTGTCTGCGGCTTATTTTTCAAGGAATCTCTAACATTATTCTTTAAAGAAACTGCATTTTTAGAATGTTCTTTAAAGAGGGTAGAAGTTCTATTTAAATAATTCTAGACAAATTTTGAAAGATCTCTTAAATCAATCTTAGAAAAAATGTTATTTTCAAGTACTTTGTGACCTGAGGCTGTTAATATCTTTGAGAAATCTCTCCTCAGGACGCGGTCCACGATTAGGCTGCGTTTAAAAACCAAATGCGACTTAAATGATTGTTTTTTCAGCAGGTGAGGACATTTCATGTCGTTTTAGTGATTTGCCACCCCAAAGTCGTGTGGACGACACTTCAACCATTTCGTTTGTTTAGTCAGTCGTTTTGAGGGAGAGCATACGGCGTTTCCACTCGGGCTCATTTTTTATCCCTTCCTCTACAGTTACTTCTGTCCGTGTTCCTTCTTACTAAGCTTCCTCCGGCATTAAATGGCCGTCCCTGCCCAAATCCCTAATTTAGGTCATGATTAATTACACTTAATCATAGCCCGAATAATTATATCTCGGAACAATGTCGGAAAAACCCTAAGAAAGCGTTTCCATCATCATTATTTATGGCAGTAGTGGGGATTTTTTATCTTGACAAGCAAAAGCTGTTCACATAATCGATATATACTTTATGTTGGGGAATTTATGTTTGGTTTTTCGCTGATTTATGGCGTGTACGCAAGGAGCTGATGTACAAACGGCTGTTTTATTAACAGTTCGATTTTTTCGTAAAACACGCGACGCATTCAAAGCACTAATGAAATTTTTAAATTTTTATACGGACTTTATTACGTTTTTACGGGGACGTTCGCGTGGTTTTTATAACCTTTCACGTTATAGTTTTATGGCATGATTTTTCCACACTGAACCTACGAGGGCCGTCTACTAAATTCTAGCAAGTTTTTCTATTTTAATTTCCAGTTTTTCGCTGGAAACTCCACAATTCGTGCAGTTGCGGAAAGTTTGGCAGAATTTGCACCAGGAGGGGCTTATTAGTCCCCGAAGGGTGGATGCTGAAAGCCGCTAAGCCGCTAAATTGCAAGTTGCGGACCTCCGACGAAGTAATCGAAGGCGAGTTATGAGTTTTGGGGGTGTTTTATGTAAAAAGAACGGACATCAATGGGGTCTTAATAGGGGGCGGCGTCACCGGGCTCTGGGGATTCGGGGACGGAAGTTCAGGAGCTAAAGTGAATAGTTGCTTTCTGATACATTATTAATGCGGGGGGCAGTTGTGACTGGGGTTCCAAACGATTAGTTTTTACTGAGCGTAAACTAAAGAAAAAAAATAAAAAAATTCCAAAGAGCTTCGACCAGTTTTCTTAAAGTTGTTCGAGGACGTTGCTTTAATTTATACACGTTTAGGGATACCGCGTTTGCCCCACTTCGTGCCTAATTTTTCCCATAAATCATATCCGCCATCATTATTTCACAATTTCCCCGATAGACAGCCCCGAATGAATATAAATGAACCCTAGAGTGTTGCTGAGTTTCCGTATTAAAATGAAGGAGCATGTGGTGCAGATGCGGCCAAAAAATTTGCGCTTCCATATCGATGTTTTTCGGAGGCAAAAAGCAGCCCGCGAAAAAATTCATAAACGTTGCGTCACACTTCCGAGAGATATCGGGTGCAAAATTCTATTCGCTAACCTTGTAAAGTGATCCAATTGTATATGAAATCGTGTATTTAGATAAACGCATTGTATTCAAGAGTGAAGTGTTTATCTTGGAGATTGCCTGCTCACCGATTCTGTTTATGTAACTCGGTAAGATATCCGTTTGGAAATCTATAGATTTCCTTACGTAAACACCCAGGCTGGCCCTCAGGCGGCGAACAGCCCCACATTATTCATCCTTTATATCAACACTTTGAATAAAATTCGAATCACTCAGAGCGTGCTGAGCCGGCGAATTTTGACGACACACACACTCTTAAAAATCCGAGTGGAGTGCGCTGAGTCGGCTGAATCGCCCTTGACTCCCCTAAACCTCCAAATTAGCGAGCATTCGGCGAAATTTCTGGCCTTGAGCTGGCGCCACCTAAGCCCTTAAGTACCCCTGAAAGCCCTTTTAACCTGCCACCGTGTAAATTTCGTTGTCCTCTTCCCTATTAATCATCTCGAATAACCTCCCGATCGGCATTCCCGACACAAAGCCCGGATCCTGCTTACTCGCAACTGTCTCCATTCAAGCCCTTCATCCTGCAGGACTTCAAAGGAACGCTGGAAACAATCGGAAGAATACGACGCCTCGTATCGATTTTAAAGGGAAAAGTCCGCTCGCATAACAACGATAACTATCGGCTTCCGGAAAAATTCCGCCGACCTTGGGACGGACAGAGATCCGTTTCGCGCAATTATGAAAAATTCTGGCTTTCCAATTAGAGCTCGCGGAGAGATCCGGATCGATGCATCGTCTGGAAATTAAAAGGGGAGGAATGATGAAATCGAAACGTAAATAATTTTGCAAACACCCTTCTTTGAGATGCAGTCGCATGAAAATTCGATTACATTTTTTAGCGGATTTCGGCTGGGGTTTTATTAATTTAGGGAAACAGGGGCGAGTTGAGGGGATTTTTTACTCACCCTGAACGGGAAATGAGCATCGTTGCTAAAGTCGATGTGTGCAAGCGTGAGGGCAGTTTCTGGAACAAAAAAAATTGACACTCTCGGCTGACGCTCGAAGTTTATAAAAAAGAGGTTTATAACTAGTTTATTAAAGCTAAAGCGTGCAAAATAAACAGCGAAACCGCTTATTTAGCGTCGATGTAGATTTTATATATTCTAAATCGGTATTTCATAAATGAGGTTTTAAAATCTGGCTGCAGCTGACGCTCCCTCCGTTCGTAACTTCTAAAAACGTTTCATACGAAAAGAGCATCGTTTCCGTCTGTCTGTCTGTCATCTATCGAATGATGGTGATTTTATTATTCACATTATGTCCGGAACTAAGTACTGGATGGTTTTCAAAAATTCGCATTTCATGCTGATTCTTTCGAAAATGTTGCTCCGTGACCACCAACACTATATATTTTTGGAATCAGCATGTCGAGATCTACGTCCCTGAATTTTTTGATAATTTTTTTGAAAGTGAACATTTTTCAATGGTCCCCCCTTCTTCAAATTTCGGCGAAATTTTGACATTTTCGAAACTAAATTAAAAGCAGTTTCTTGTAGTTTTCGAACTCCAGAACTCACTTTCGGCCTCGTTTCTTGAATGCCTCCAACCGTTTTTCCGGAATCGGCCGTTGAAATATCGAAATTTTTACAAATTCTCAAAAATTCGCATTTCATGCCGATTCTTTCGAAAATGTTGCTCCGTGACCACCAGCACTATATATTTTTGGAACCAGCATGTCGAGATCTACCTCCCTGAATTTTTTCACAATTTTTAGACAAATTTTTTAAAAGTGAAAATTTTCCAATGGTCCCCCCTTCTTCAAATTTCGACGAAATTTTGACATTTTCGATACTAAACTAAAAGCAGTTTCTTGTAGTTTTCGAGCTGTAGAATTCACTTTCGGCCTCGTTTCTTTGATACCTCCAAATGTTTTTCCGGAATCGGCCGTTGAAATATCGAAATTTTTAGAAATATTCAAAAATTCGCAATTCATGCCGATTCTTTCGAAAATGTAGATCCGTGACCACCAACACTATATATTTTTGGAATCAGCATGTCGAGATCTATGTCCCTGAATTTTTTCACAATTTTTAGACAACTTTTTTAAAAGTGAAAATTTTCCAATGGTCCCCCCTTCTTCAATTTTCGGCCAAATTTTGACATTTTCGAGACTTAACTAAATGCATTTTCTTGTAGATTTCGAGCTCTAGAACTCACTTCCGGCTTCGTTTCTTTAATACCTCCAACCGTTTTTCCGGAATCGACCGTTGAAATATCGAAATTTTTACAAATTCTCAAAAATTCGCATTTCATGCCGATTCTTTCGAAAATGTTGCTCCGTGACCACCAGCACTATATATTTTTGGAATCAGCATGTCGAGATCTACCTCCCTGAATTTTTTCACACTTTTTAGACAACTTTTTTAAAATTGAAAATTTGCCAATGTCCCCCCTTCTTCAAATTTCGGCGAAATTTTGACATTTTCGATACTAAACTAAAAGCAGTTTATTGTAGTTTTCGAGCTCTAGAACTCACTTTCGGCGTCGTTTCTTTAATATCTCCAACCGTTTTTCCGGAATCGGCCGTTGAAATATTGAAATTTTTACAAATTCTTAAAAATTCGCATTTCATGCCGATTCTTTCGAAAATGTTGATCCGTGACCACCAGCACTATATATTTTTGGAATCAGCATGTCGAGATCTACCTCACTGAATTTTTTCACAATTTTTAGACAACTTTTTTAAAATTGAAAATTTGCCAATGGTCCCCCCTTCTTCAAATTTCGACGAAATTTTGACATTTTCGATACTAAACTAAAAGCAGTTTCTTGTAGTTTTCGAGCTGTAGAATTCACTTTCGGCCTCGTTTCTTTAATACCTCCAACCGTTTTTCCGGAATCGGCCGTTGAAATATCGAAATTTTTAGAAATATTCAAAAATTCGCATTTCATGCCGATTCTTTCGAAAATGTTGATCCGTGACCACCAACACTATATATTTTTGGAATCAGCATGTCGAGATCTATGTCCCTGAATTTTTTCACAATTTTTAGACAAATTTTTTAAAAGTGAAAATTTTCCAATGGTCCCCACTTCTTCAATTTTCGGCCAAATTTTTACATTTTCGAGACTTAACTAAATGCATTTTCTTGTAGATTTCGAGCTCTAGAACTCACTTCCGGCTTCGTTTCTTTAATACCTCCAACCGTTTTTCCGGAATCGGCCGTTGAAATATCGAAATTTTTACAAATTTTCAAAAATTCGCATTTCATGGATTCTTTCGAAAATGTTGCTCCGTGACCACCAGCACTATATATTTTTGGAATCAGCATGTCGAGATCTACCTCCCTGAATTTTTTCACAATTTTTAGACAACTTTTTTAAAATTGAAAATTTTCCAATGGTCTTCAAATTTCGACGAAATTTTGACATTTTCGATACTAAACTAAAAGCAGTTTCGATCTGTGGAATTCACTTTCGGCATCGTTTCTTTAACATCTCCAGCGGTTTTTCCGGAATCGGCCGTTGAAATATCGAAATTTTTAGAAATTTTCAAAAATTCGCATTTCATGCCGATGCTTTCGAAAATGTTGCTCCGTGACCACCAACACTATATATTTTTGGAATCAGCATGTCGAGATCTACGTCCCTGAATTTTTTCATAATTTTTAGACAACTTTTTTAAAAGTGAAAATTTTCCTTCTTCAAATTTTAGCCGAAATTTTGACATTTTCGAAGCTAAACTAAACTCACTTTCGGTCTCGTTTCTTTAAGAACTCCAACCGTTTTTTCGGAATCGGCCGTTGAAATATCGAAATTTTTAGAAATTTTAAAAAATTCTCATTTCATACCGATTCTTTTGAAAATGTTGTTCCATGACCTCCAACACTATATAATTTTGGAATCAGCATGTCGAGATATACCTACATCTCTGAATTTTTTGATAATTTTTGGACAATTTTTTTATGAATTAAGTTTTTCCAGTTGTCCCCTGTCTATGTTTCTTTTATTATATATATTTTATTTTTGAATGACTTTGAAAGAATGTTAAAGAATAATAGGACCTGATGTGTCTTTTTTAAATGAAGCTTAAATAATCTGTTTTGTTCTTTAAGTATTTGAAAGAATCATTCTTTCGAGCTTTTTTTTTATGAAAAAATCGTGAATGTTCCTGGTGTTTTATTTGCGTAGCCATCTAATGGGTTTTTCCAGTGGTATTTCCATTAAAACTATTTGTTTATTAGTATTTTTAGAATACATTTTTGAAATTGAACCAAATAATGCAAAAACCACAAAAAAATCTTTTTATAATTATAATCTTGTTATTAGATATTGCTCGTAATATTACCGGTTTTTTATGTAGTGGGGACGAGAAAGACAAAACGCTGTTTTTTAAAGCCGCTGATGTCGGTGGAACGTGTTTATTTCCAATAAAATCGAACCCGAAACAATATTCGAAAAAAATTTTTAATAACCAGTCGTAGATTAATCCTGGCCGACCGTTTGCAACTTATTTCTCTGGAGGTTCCTGTCGGCATTAATAATTCAATTTTTCGTATTTCGCAGCAACAAATGCGGGCGTCGGCCCAATTCCACGTTTTATTACGCGATCAGGCGAAATTTTTTCGGCCTGACCTCTACATCACCGCTTTAGTGCATTCCGAATTTATTCATCTTTCACCACCAATTCAACCCCTAAGCACTTTATGCGAGATTTATAACCCGTACTGACGAATCGCGCCGTAAAATAAAAATTTCACCCCTGTCTCTACTAACCCCACTTCCCATACACAAAATTGATTTTTCCCGCAAAATCCACAGACCTCATGAATCCTCGAAACGCATTATAGTGTAGTTCGTTGAACCGGTGATTCATTCAAACAAAACTCAGCACTTTTTTAATTAAAATTATCTTTAGGATAAATTAAACACATAAATCGCCGCCCGCGCTCCTATAAAGACTTTTATTCAAATACGCCGCGATCGCGGCCAAAAGCGGAACTCGTTTGTTAAGATCTGGAGCGGCAGTAAAACTTGTCCAAAATAGTAACCAGAGGTAGTTTAGTGGTTGTTTATGAATTTTTAACCCACAAAGCGGCATTAATCCTCAAGGCAATTTAGTAGAGCCAGGTTTTGCCGCTCGCCTGTTTTATTGATGCTGTTGCAAACAAGGACGAAAGCAATCCTTGTACAGTTTAAGTGTAACCTTCGCGGTGTACGCGCACGATGAATTTTTGATGGGCTCGATTCGGCCACGTCACGACGCCTCCGGATCGCGGAACGAGCGATCGGAGCGCAAAAACTCGCCAACTGCATCCATCAACGTCTTCGGACTACAAACCCACTTCGGAAAAACGCGACGAGATTACGCCGACCATTTTTCAGCGGTCGCACCGCTGCCACTTCACGTAGGTGGAGCGCTTTTTGTGTTCCGAGGAGTAAGTTTAATTTTCCTCCAGATCGAGTTAATTAAATTTGAAGAATCTTAATAAACTTGGAGCCGAAAGCTCGAATACAATTTCTTTTCGAGAATTTGGTAAATAATAAACTTTGTTCGCTCGTCTTACAGGCGAACAGGAGTTGGAGGTTTCGGGATTTATTAATGGACAAAATTTACTTCTTAATAACGCGGATAATAATAATAAGAATGATTAGCTTGTGAGGGTCGGTGTTCTCTTGGCACCCATTCTAATAAAAGAGCACATTTATTTTTCAACAAGATGGTGCCACAGCGAATGCAGCTATAGCCACAATTGCTTTGTTACACCTAAATTTATTTCATCAACCAGTGTATAACCCGCAGAAAAAACAATCAAGAGACAATCTCTGAACTGCGATTAAACGACAAAATTATCAAATCGTCATCCGAAAACCGCCGATGCAAGTTTCGGCTGTTACAAAAACGTTCTTGAAGTCGTTAACCACCCGCCTCTCCTTCCCCGGCCAATTATTTCCGCCGCCCCTCACGCACGCCGCCAGATAAACTCAACTCAGCTCCACAAAACCAGTAAAACCAAGCAATCT